CGCCCCTAAGGCAGCCTCTGCTCCTGGTCGCTGATTATTCTCTTGGGAGCTGTGGCGAACCGAGCCTCTGAAGAGTCCCTGAGGAACTCCCCGCGCCGTTTGCGGTGCGACGGGCACTGACAGAGTCAGCAAAGGGAAGGGTCCTGCCTGCTCTTTCGTCCGCGAGACTCGTGTCCCCAGCCCTCGAGGATCTCCAACAGACCCAAGTCTGGGCAGGCTGAGCTGGAGGAAACTTGGCCTCCGGCCACCCTGAGGAGACTGAGAAACTTTTGGTCAACAGGGTGCCTTTCCTTTACTTGGAACTGAGAACCAAAACAAAAGTTTCCGAGGCCGGAAAGGAAACGCGCAGCGTGTCGTCTGCGAGTCCTGGAACTGTGGACACCGAGCCAGCGGGGACGGGCCCAGGACTGGACCCGCCCGGGCGGCGGCAGCCCCGCGCCTTCCAGGATGTGTACGCGGAGCCTGCGGTTCTCTTAGTAACTTGTACCTTGTGGAAAGAGACGACTGCCAGCACGCCTCGGCCTACTAGAAGCCCTAAATGCCCTTCCGTGCTTGCTTTCTTGTGGAGGTCTCAGATTCGCAGATTCGTTGTAGTCGGGTCAGCTATGTCCTAAACCTACCGTTCTTGAAACAAAACCCCGCAGTTAGGGTTAGTATAGCTGAAAGTATTTCACACATAATACCTCCTCAGAACTTTTGATTTCAAACATAACAAGCACTATAACGCGTTCTTGGGGCCAGTCGTATCTCAAATGCACAGTGCCTGCCTGTTAAGTGTGAGGCCCTGAGTTCGACTCCTAGTATGAAAAAAAAAAGCTCTCTTCATTCTCAAAAGAAAAAGCCATGTAATACCTTTCACATAGAACAAACCGGTAAAGTATTTGTTGAGTAGGGGATAATTGAGTAATAGTATTGATTATAACTTTTCAGAATGTCTTTTAGAAATATGTCATAGAAATACATATAATGTATTTTAAATACATGTTATGGCAAGACTTCGAGGGTTTGTGCAAATGTAATTTGTGGGAGAGATGAGGAGGAAAAATAAGGGTATAGTTGAAACGAGAGGCCATAAGCTGATACTAGAACTGGGAGATGGAAATGGTAGTTCACTGTACTAAAATTTTTTATGTTAACTTCTATTTCTTTAAAAAGTCTTCATAACATTTATACCACGTTTTGAGGCAAGTCAGATTGAGGAATATGCCACAGTTCTCTGAGCCCATCAGACTAGCTAGATCATTCTTGATACCGAAAAAATAAAATTTCACCTTCTAGTTCACCCTGCAAACAAACTGGGCATTAAATTGCCCAGCTCCCCTTATACCTGGGCAAAAAAGACCCCTATTCTGGACCTCACTCTTCACAGAACTTTACATATCCTACATATACAGATTTATTTAAAAATACATGACTGCCTCTCTCACTCATGATCTGATGCTGAACACCAGCCCATAACCATAAATCCTCTCTCCTATGATCGCTGTTCAGGCCCAAGCGAAACTAGTTAATACCTCTTACCTCATATCCTCAAAACAAAAGATGACTCCAAATACAATGAAAACACGTGGATAGTACAGCTGCCTACATTAGAAATACACCACTTTGGAGGCCAGGTGAAATTAGAGCAGCACTTGTCAAATCCTTCCTCTCAGCTTGCATTACACACTATCGTTGCCCAGTGATGCCAAGCATAGATTTTTCCTTCTCTTAGTGTTACAATTTTTGGTTACAACACTGACTAGCATAGTATTCACAGAAGTTGTGTGTTACACTGGCCTCTGTTTGTATTCTTGCCTCTAATTCCATAAATATTAGGGATAAGTTGACCATGAAGATAAAGACTATGTATTTCAGGTATTTGTAAGGTTTGTTAGGGCCAAAACACCATGTGTTGTACTTGACTGTTGTGGGGTTTTTTTGTTTGTTTGTTTTGGTTTTTTGGTATCCAACTAGGGTTCTTGTGCTTGCCAGGGCAGGCAGTGGGAACACTGAGCTAAATCCCTGGCCCTGTAATTGACTGTTGTTTAAATTGTGGAACTTTATAGATGGTGATTAAGGTGACTAAATTCCAGAAGAGATGGTATAATATAAGAAGAATGTGGATGATATTAGTCACCTTCTGACCTTTTGAGTGAAGTCTCCAGGGATGCACAGATACTCTGGCAGAGGATACCTAAGGCCCTAAGTAAGTAGCTCAGTCATATGCCTTAAAGTATCTGTGCCACAGACACTTAGCCCTTGTTTATCCAAATACTTAAAACCTGGCATAGATAATAGTGTACAACTCATTGCCTGTAATACCTGTCTCCCAATAGTCACTCAGTAAATGTTCACTGAATGAGTGAATGATTAAGCTCATCAGAAATGTTGAAGTGGGTGAGTTCTTAGGTATACAATAACTCCATTCTTCTAGGCATGCTCTTTAATTGGTGCTAGATCTTAGAGCTTATAGAAGATATCATTTAGTTAAGTCCTATGTGATTTAATTTTCTTCCATCAGTTTATTTTCAAATGAATTATTTTAGGCTTGAGAATACTTCTTAAAGGATATACCTTTTGTAATAAAAATAAAATTGAAAAAAATATTCAAGATTTGCTCTAGCAGGAGACCTTTTAGAAGTGGCTCCTAAACAATTTGGTCTTGCATTTTAGGGTGTTCCTAACACTAGATTTGTCTTCCATTTAGGATCTGTCTTTAATTACACCTGATGTCAACATGTCAGCTTCCAAGGGATACAGTGGCTCCCCATTAAACTCTGATCCAAGCATGTATGTTACAACACAAAGCATTCCTGGGCTGTTAAAACAATGAGTGGTAACAAATAAGAGAGGGAAAATTTACACAAAATAATGTAAATCTAGATTCTTTGGTTTACAAAATATGGCTTGTTTCCAATATCTAAGAGCGCATCCTAGGCAAGGCACCCAGAGCACTTCCACCTTTCAATTCCTTAATCTGATTTTCCATTTCCAATTATGGGTTCACAGTTCAAAGCTCATGAATCAACATTTAGTCCCAAGGGCCATTTCCTCATAACTGCATTGAAAACTAGTTCCATTCCAGAAGAGTTGACTATAAAGTAAAACACATTTGTTTCATTTATCTTCAATATAATTTTGCAGATATACTTCTTCCCAGGATGAGAGTGGTAGAGGAGAAGCTTCCGTAAACTGCTCCCATTTCCTGCTGACTTCTTCAAGAGGTAGCATCCTGTGTCAGGTGCAACAGTAGTCCATCTACATACTCAGCTTTTACTTAAAAATTACAAGTGGCAGAGGAAATTAAAAGGCAAAAAAAAAAAGAGGCAGATTTAGGAAGTGTGGAATTCTTCTGTTTTCCCCACTTGATAGCAGCATAGTGAAAACTAAAGCTTTATGCAAAACAGAAAGACAAGCAAAAGCTTGGTACATGGTAGGCAGGCAGGCAACTAGGAGAGGGCCAAGAGGCAGAAATATATTAACCAGATTTCAAAATAGTGCACAATAGAGCCCTGCACACAACTCAATTCAGGCCAGCTGACCAGGCTCACCCTTCTTCTCTCCTAGATGCACCTGGCGTTGACAGCCTAATCCTTTACTTAAGAATGAGACACTTCTTCAAGGGCTCCCTTCCTAGGCTGTTTGTTGTGGAAGAGGCACAAAAACACCTAACAGGTTTTTTAGGGGTTTACAGTGCTAAAGACCATAGGGAACCAAACAGGGTTTACAGAAAGAAAAAAGTCAGAAAGGTAATAATAGGGTAAAAACAGGAAGACATATTTGTTATTAATGTTAAAAGGAAACGCAGATGACGTGGAAAATAAATGTGTAAAAAATATGCTTGTAAATAAAAAAGGCAAACATGGAAAAAAATGTGGTAGGGTGGTGAGATTAAAACAATTATTAAACATTTAAAATGTATTTTAATGTAATAACTACAAATTAAAGAACAATCCTTGTTCTTTGTATTTGTTTGAATGTAAGGGTAATGGAGTCTAATTTTCTTCAACATCTTTCATTTACTTTTTTTCAATTATTTAGGCAGAAGACATTTATTGAGCACTTGTTACAATAAAAAGATTGTGTCTACTCTTAAAAAATTCACAATCTAACAGACTCATGATAAAGATGATAGCACAAATGGCAGTCTTAACAATAATGTGCAAAGAAGAGTGCCTCGCATATAGCTGCCAACCAGTGAACATTTATTAAATGAATAAGTTGATAAATCACTGCTCCAGAAGGAAGATGACCTCAAAGAAATTTAATTTGTGCTTCCTCTCTCCCTCCCTCCCTCTTTATCTCTCTCTCATAGAAAATTGCCCAATACTCAGCAGTTCACCGAGAGTGTCCTCCTTTAGCAGTGATGTGAGGGCGCCATTGATAATGGAGTTGAAAGAACTTCTGACAAAGTCTTTCTGGGACCAGCTAGCATCCTAGGAATGAATACTTACAAGAACTGGAAGAACAGAGCATTAAGAATTGTACCACAAAAGCCCAAGCAAGAAGCAGTATGCTAAGAACGAAGGGAGTATATGTGGCAGAACCAAGACTGGAGGAAGTGTACAGTACGGTCATCCTTGAAGACCTGCTGAAGCTGGGCAAGAATCTGAACGACCAGTTACTATGATCTGGAGATGGTTTGCTCCCCAGAGGTTCGTATGCTGGAGACTTTATCTTTAGTATGGAGGTGTTGAGAGAACCTTTAAGAAGTAAGAGGTGGGGCCTAGTGAAAGTAATTAAGTCATGCAGGCATCACCTTTGCTCATTAGGGATTAACGCAGGTGTCACAGGTTTACATTACTTCCTGCAGGAATGGATTGTTGTAACGGTTTGCTGCCCAAGTCCCTTTTTCTATGTGTTGCTTACCACTCTTGTACGTGCTCCCACCATTATGATGCCATCTGCCAAGATGTCTTCACTGGAGCTGTGCAGATGCCTGTGCTGTGCACTTGAGCCTCCAGAACTGTGACTTTCAATGAATCTCTTTTTTTCTTTATAAAGTATGCAGCTTCGGATGTTTTGTTATAGCAAAAGAAAACAGACTAACACAACAGTGGACCGGCACCATGTGCATACCTTGTAGCCCCAGATTTCAGCAGCAACATGGCATACCCATTCTTATGTCTGTTTATTTAACAAATATTTCCTGAACATCTCTTGTGAGGTAGATCCTTTACCTAGACACTGGGGACAAAAAGGTGAAAAAGACAAAGAATTTTGTTCCTCTCACAGAAGGAGAAGGTCTGAGAGGAGGACATAGAGGGAAGAGAATAGAGGCAGGCAGAAAGGCTGGTTTATAATCTAAGTATAATAGGAATCCAGTGGAGAGTTTCAAGGGCAGAATGTTATGATCTAACCTATGATTTAAAAGATCACACTGACTGCTCTGTGAAAAAGATTTGTAGTGGGACAATAATGAGGAGACTATTCCAAAGAAGGATATAATAGTCCTGCTGAGAAAATCATGTAGGAGCTCGGCATGGGAGTACACACCTTTAAACCCCAGCAGTCTGGGAGACTGAGGCAGAACAATCATAAGTTTTTTTGTTTTGTTTTTTGTGTTTTGCTTTTTTGGTACTGGGGAAGAATAATCACAAGTTTGAGCCGCCCACCCCGGGGCAACTTAGTGAGACTCTGTCTCAAAGGGGGAAAAAAAACTATATATAAAGGGCTAGAGATGTAGCTAATATAAAAGTCCTGTGTTCAATCCCCAGTACTATGAAGAAGGGGCGGAGGTATCATAACAGTGACTAGGTGACAACAATGAAAGTGGTTAAGAGGTGATCAGGATGTAGACCTATTTAGAAGGTAAAGTTACCAGAGCTAATGGATTGGATTAGGGTATAAAGGGAAAAAGATATCAAAGATTATCCTAGGAGTTGTGCCTGAACAAGCAGGTATATGTAGTGGTGTTAACGGATGGAAAAGAGAGAGAGAGAAGCTGGTTTGAAGAAAGAAAAAATCTCCATGGTTCTGTTTTGAATTTAAGTTGAGGTGCCTGTTGGAAGTCCAACTGGAGGTGTCTACCAGGAAATTGAATGCATAATTCTGGAGCTCAGGACAGAGTTTGATTTCCAGATGTAAACTGAAGAGTTATCGGCATATACAGAAGAGACCTGATGGGATCAGATAAGAGGAGAAGGAGGAGTGCTGAGAGTGTAGCTCAGTGTGGACCACGGGTTTAGCCTGTGCAAGGCGTTGGGTTCAATTCTCAGCATGGAAAAGAGACAGAGAGGAGAGTTAGGAGGAAAAGACAGAGAGGGGAGGAAGAGAGAAAGAAAGGATGAGACAGGCGATGGGACCCCTGTATTTATAGATTAGAAGAGAGTAAGCTTGCAGTGGAGATTGATGTAAATAGAAGAAACTTTAATAAAGGGTAACGTTGACGCCAAGAATATGTTTCACGTGCTTGATAGACGTCAAAGATGGAGAAACGGCTATTAGATTTTTCCTGATGCAGGCGGCCTTGGCAAGGTTTGATTCTTTGATGTGGTAGAGATGTAAATCAGACTGAACAGGGTTGAAGAGAAGAGGAAGTAAACAGCAAGAACAGACGACTCCCTCAAGAAGCGCTCCTGTAAAGGGGAATAGAACAAGCAGTATTAAAGGGAGCAAGCAGTAAAAGGGGAGAAGCATTAGGATGGGACCTAATAAGGCATGCTTGGGCACCAGAGGGGATGAGCTGAGGGGGTGGGGTGGGATAACTGTAGAAACGCTGCCCTCGAGGAGAGGAAACAGGATTCAGAATTAACATGGAGCTTCAAGAGGATGTTTCTAGATTTCTCGCTAGTAAGTGTAATAGGGCTTTGTTGTTTATTTTGGGGGGTGGTTGAGACAGGGTCTCACTGTGTCATTCAGGCTGTCCTCAAACTCACGGAGATCCTTCTACCTCAGCCTCCGGAGTGAATAGGGTCTTGATGAGTTAGAAAAAGTAAGAACTTTGTGTGTTATTTTAGTTCTACCCATTAAAAGCATCCTTCACATGTTACATCATTGCATCCTCAGATCAGCCTTGTGAGGTCATTAGTATTATTCCAGTTTGACAAGTGAGAGAATATGTAATACTTACATGAGCTGCCCAAGTTCATACAACAAGCAAGGAGGTCAAAGAGACCTGAGCAAAGTGTTAGGAAGGAAGTGAGGCCTTTAACATAAAACAGGCAAAGAAGGGAAAGAGTCAAGGGTTAAAGGTAAACTCATCTACCCAAAGTTTTACTTCATATTTTTAGAGATTTTTGTTTAATAAATGGATGAACCTGATATCCAATGATTTCCACATTCTTTCTATAAAGAGGTCCCTTTCCTCATTACCTTCTCCCTAACATGGAGGCTTTACTTGAATATGAACATTAATAGGGATCCCACAAAAATTTCTAGGAAATTTATTTATAATTTACTGTTTTAGAAGTTTTTTCCCCCTCCTGTCTGTTCTGAAACATGCAAGAAGTATAATTGCTCAAACACTCAGATTATAGTCAAAATCTAGGGCTGACTCACCTGAAGCAGGACATCTGGTCATTGTATTGAAAACAAGTTTTTTTTTTTTTTTTTTTTTTTATAAGCAGAAGGAAACAAAACCAACCTGTAGACATGGCTGTAGTCTCCTCTATCAAAATCTTTAAGAGTGACCACTAAATCCTGATTAACTGTTTGCAGGAAGGAAGTACTCTGGGTCAACCCAGCTAGACTCAAGGGTAGGGAAATAGGGACCAGTTCACAGCTCAGAAATAGAGTGCCTGCCTGACATGACTGAATACCTGGCCTCCATCCCCAGAACCACACATACACACAAAGAGGAAAGAAAGTAACTGTTTCTCTAGCTTCAATTCCATTGGCTGATGTTTTATGTACATGTACCAACTCCCCAAGGCGATTGTAATCATTATGTACTATAAACATGCACTAATAAAAAAAAATTTTTTTTTGGTACTGGGGATAGAACTTAGGCCCTTTGCACTTGCGAGGCAGGCACCGGAACCACTGAGCTAAATCCTTAGCCCCACTAATAAATACTTTTAAAAAGGAAAAATCCATTGGGTGACATCTGCCTTTATATGTATTTTTTCTTTATAGTGTTTTAAAAACTGTCACTACCTAGTTTTTATTTTTTTTCATTTAGATCCAGAAAATGTATGTTATTTTTTTCTTCCCACCTCCCACATGCCAGCTAAACTCACTTTTTTCCTCTGCTCAAAGGTATCCTTAAAATATGTTTTCCAAAGGAAGAAAGTTACTGAACCATTACTTTATATATAATTCTGCTTATGTTTCTTTCCCCCTCCATATGTGTAGATTGCTACAGCCTTTATTATTTTATTTATTTATTTTTGGTATTGGGGATTGAACTCAGGTCCTTGCACTTGCGAGGCAGGTAGTGGAACCACTGAGCCAAATCCCCAGCTCTACAGCCTTTAGATTAAGTAGTTTATATATTGTCACAGAAAAGCTACATACACTTTATTGCCTGTAACATCTTTCTTTCTTGTTTTTGTTTTTTTCTCTTTTCCTTACATGTTTATGTATATTTTGGTAGTAATGTTATGAGAAAAGGATAAGATTCATCCTTCTTTATTTACTCTTAAAACATATTATCTTCTACTTTTCAGTTTATGCATGGGCTTCCGTGTTGGAAAAAAGTATAGATAGCTCTGCAGGTCTGGTTGTCCTTTCATATATTCAACAAACATTTCTTTTTTTTTCTTTATTGGTATGTTTTAGGTGTACAATACCATTATTTTCATCACTGGGATCTTGTACCTTTTACGTGACTTATCTTGGTTCTTATTTTTTCCCCATTCCCCTGCCCTCCCTTCACCCCCTCTACCCTTCTCTATTTACAAGCCTGTTTCCATTTTTTTCTTTTCTCTTATTTTTTCTTTTCCCTTCTTACCTTTCACTTACCCCTCCCACTTCCCCTATACCTTTAGACCTTTTTTCCTATTGCACAATATCAATTATTCATTTTGATCCTTGTTTATACTTTTAGTTTATCACACCAGAGAAACTATTCGGTATCTACACATGTGTCCTATTAATTTCACTTAAGAGTATCGCCTCAATGTGCATCAAATTAGCTATAACTATCTCTAGTTTCTCGTTCTTTATGGCTGAGTAGTACTACATTTTATATATTAACTACACACACACACACACACACACACACACACACACACACACACACACCTTTATCCAGTCTCCAGTTGATGGGCAGTTAGGCTGTTTCCAAGTTTTAACTGTTACAAAACTGTGCCACCATAAACATGGGTGAGCATATATCGGTGTGGTATGATTCTTTTAACTTTTGGGGGAAGATTTGCTGGGTCAAATGGGGTTTCCAATCCTAGTTGTTTAAGGTATCTCCATATTTATTTCCACAGTGGTTGCGCCAGTCTGCACTCCCACCAACAATGAAGAAGGGTTCCTTTCTCCCCACGATCCTTCCAACATTTGTTACTGGTTGATTTTTTGATAGCAGACATTCTTTCTGGGGTGAGGTGGAATCACCAAATATTTCTTGAGCCCCTGTTGTATGCTGGTACTCTTTTAGGGTGTGTAATATACAGCAGTGAAGAAAAGAAGTCAGTCCTACTCTCAGAGATCTTATAGCCAGTATGGATGGTAGGGAAAAATAAAATAAACAAGCAGATACATA